CAACCGTGTTTCAGGACTTCATCTGCACAAGGAGTGTGTTTAGTTGTCATGGAGATGGATCTGTTGGTATGTGAGCTCAGCAGCTGATGATTTCATCCATATCAACCTAAGTCAAACTTCATCCACCGTTAAAGAGTGTGTGGTGTGTGTAAGTCTGGACAAATGTGCGTAGACGGCTCTGCTAAGATTGTTCCCTAGTTTAGGTTTCATGTTATGTGTTTAGATAGGTTCCTGTTTTATTTTGATAGTCTTGTCTACCCTCATGTGTCTAAAGTACGTTTCCTGCCTTGTCTGTTTTCCCGCTGTTGTGATTGTCTAAATTGTCTTCACCTGGTGTTGTCTGTCTAGTATATATAGTTCTCGTCTTCCCTTGTCTCGTTGCCAGATTGTCTTGTTCGTTCCAGCGTAAGATCATTTTGTCATTGTCCATAGAGTTATTATCGTCCATAGAGTTAGATTAAGTAAGTAGTTTTTTGATAGTATAGGTTAGACAGTTTATTGAGTGTTTGTTTTGTTGCTTTATGTATTCAGTCAGTGTGTTATGACCCGTCTACATTAAAACACTTTATTTTGATACTTTGTCTCTGCATCGTGCATTTGATTCCACGCCCTTGTACAGCCTTAACAACAAAGCTCTGTGTGAGTGATCAGTATCTTGGTTTTATTGTAATCCATCTTACTTTCTTGGATTTTCTAAGACTATGTTAGAACAATGATACTTCCACAATATACTTTAAGTTGTTTATAAAAAAGAAACATTACCATTCCGAACACACCACATATTGTTCATTTCTAACAAATTGTCCTGCTGATAATTCTTTCTGCCTGTTGCTTCATCTCCTTTGTTGGAAGCCTCGGGAAAATAATATTACAAGGATGTAATTCAAGAGAAGGATTGAGATCTCTTAGATTATCTCAGTTTTGGTCTGGGGTGGGTTTAGGGGGGAGAAAGATAAATTGCCATGTTTTGGAGCCAATTTCTTTCCTTAATCCTCACATGAAAAACATCTTACAATATCTATCTGATTCCACAGGGAAAATGGGCCATTACCACACAAATCAGAAACAGAATCAGAAACAGGTTTATTGCCACACATACGAGGAATTTGACTTGATGTCATGGTGCAGACAAAACATATAAAACAAAAAAATCAATAAAATAAAGCAGTAATTTACATGGAAATAGAATGCTATGAATGAATTATAGGATATAAATGTGAAACAGGAAATATGAAAAAGAAATATGTGCAAATATGTGTATTTTTTACTTGATTTATAGACTTGGCTGTCTGAACACAAGACATTATTAAATAAAGATGTATTGGGTTGTTTTAAAAACAAACATACAAGTCAATTCTTCCAGCTGGGGGACATTGGAGGTACATAAAAAATAAAAATAAATTAACCTCACTTTGTATATATATATTTTGCATATATTTATTAATTGTTTTGCCAAAAAACTATTTTTTAAGGCAAAACTTACTATGGAAACAATATGACCACAACTTTGGAGAACAATCGTACTAAATTCCCACGCTCTATGACCTTCAATTATACCTTCAAATGACCTTCATATTAAATTAGCCTCTAGTCCCGTTATATAAAGTTATCCACTGGAGGCTAGCTAACACTACAAAAGTTAACATTTACTTTAGTATCCTGGTATTCAAATACATCTTAAAGGTAGGTTAGGTAATTCACTTCAGAAACACTTTTTGTTATAGTCCATGGAATGCTCTTAACATCCCGATAGCAATGAATAAATGAAATGCTTTGACAATAAATATATAAAAAAATATCATCTGTGGAAGCCGTAGGGCTGTAAAAAGCACGACCAATCATTTTAGCCGGCCTGGCTAAAGTAACTGGATGACCTACCTGCCTGTCAGTCTTCCATCTGTGCACAAACTTATCTTGTGCCCTCATTGGTCATGTGCGCGTTCGTGTGTTGGAGGAGGGGCTCTGTAAGGAAGTCTGAAGGAAGGGGCAGATTTTTTTCGGTTGTGTAATTCTAGCGCACTCGAGCTGGTCTCTTTATAATTAGCCATAAAGAAGTAATAAGAATGTATACCATTGTATTGTTTGATTGGTCACTGCTCCGTCTTGTCTTGTTAAAGCACTTAGTCTTGTGTAACATTGCGCATTCTTCTTTATTTTGTGCCATAAGCACTATTTTACTTTTCTTCATTGCATCTGTATTTTCCCTTTTTTTCAACTCTTTCTTTTTATATTGATATTTAGCACAAAGCCCTTTTTCGCAGAACATAACCTTTGATAAATGAGAGCGATTAACTGAATGTGTTGATCTGATGACTATCATTACAACAATATTTGCAGGTCATCAAATTATATTATATTTGATTGTATTGTTTTCTTTTCTGCAACCCATGCTGTATCACAGCAACCTACAGTAATTAGGTTTGATGATAGGGACATTTTTCAGTTGTTTACAAAGACAGTAACCTCTGCAATTATCGTGGCACACAATGCAGAAAGCTCATTTCACAATATTATGAGGTTGTGGTTCAGTGGGAACTTTGAAGCTTGGTCAACCCAAATGTACCCCTCAAAGTGTTGTCCACAGGATTTGTTCGTTCAACTTTGAAACAACATGGCTGATGTCAGCTAACACTGTGCAGATGTAGATTTCTTCTTTTATTTGGCTGCTATTGCAGTGATGTAGGCTTCTTGATCTGTTTCTGTTCTAATGCTGTACTTCTAAGAGCATACTTTCTGAAAACAAGTGCATGGAATCTACGAGTTTTAATGTACTTACAAATATGATTCAAGTTATTTCAAACTTCTCATTTTGAATGTACTGATATAATAGTTTTATTATGCTGGACATGCCAACATGAATTAGATGACTGTAATATGATAAATGGCAGGTCCAGACTTTTAGCGTGTTAGTGATAAATATGACATTTATTCCACGAATATGACTTCATTTATAAAGGATTAGGGCCTTATATTTCACAAAGGAATAATTGCACACCTCCCTCCCTCTTTGCAAGTTGAGTCATTTCCGTTTCACAGTATATAGATGAAACCAAGACGCTGGCAGCAAGACAACCCTTTCCTAGTAATTCTCAATAAATGATAAATGTGCATTGTTGGACTAAGACTATTCAATTATTCTACCTACTGGTGCTTGCATGTTGCATGGCATTGTCTATGTGCTTTTGTTTTTACAGCCTGTGTGTGTGTGTTACAGAGAGCACAACACGGACATTTACAATAACAAATTTGCACTGACGCATGTATGGTACAATCTATTCCAGTAAACGACCATGGATGAAAGAATATAATCTAAAACCCATGGTCATATCACTTATTATCCAACTAACTATCTCTGATATTCCAGGAAACTTGTCGCAGATTGTTTTAACATTTAAAAGCAGGGAGGTGCCAAGCAGAAAACATGGCTGCGCTGGTTTGTTTTGGCTGTGTTTCAGAGGAGCATCGTGTGATGATCATGCCACAACTATTTTTCAAGAGAAAATCTATTTATAGATATCTGTGTGCGGATTGGATTTCCAAACAGTATAAGCCTGAATAAAAAGGGCCAGGGTTGCTCTTTGCCTGCTGCATCTGCAAAGTAAGAATTGTTGTTTTCTCTAATGCAAGAACAGAATATCAAATATGGGTTATTAAATATATGTGAGAAGACAGGAAAGGATGACTTTTAAAGCAGATATTAATGTGCAGGAGTGTGTGAAAGGGATATACAAAAGATACTTTAAACTTCTTCTTAAATACTTTAAAACCAGAGCCTGAAATAGAGACAAAAAAAAGGTACAGCAACAAGAGATGGAGTCCTAACATTGTGGTCAAACAAAACCTCAACTCTGTTAAAGTCCAAAGAAAAAAACATCTTGATCTCTTCCGTTTGATTGAAATCCATTTTCTTTAGTCCTCAGAGGAAACCACAAAGCACACTCCAGGTACGAGCTCGTCCAAACAGAAACCTTGTAAATTGAAACTCCTGTCATCGCAAGACAATTCAGAAAATTAGTTATGACAACAAGCCTGACGCCCCCCCCCCCCCCCCCCCCCTCCCAGCCGAAGGGAAACACTTGGGTGCAAGGCATTGGAGGGTTGATGTAAATGCTTTTAAGCTTCAGAATCTCTTTCCTCATTCAAAGCTGGACGCAAGACATTTCGCAACTTAAGGGACCTCTTATCAGAGAGGAGCAGCCTTCAAGTGAAAGCTGCACAATTGGAGATGTCAGAACCTTCTCCTGTGAAGCCAGCAATTGCTTGGAACTGGGAATTTGCAACAGTTTTCCACATCTGAGAGGGCCAAGCATCTGCCATAGTTTGAGGCCTGTTATCATTAACCCCCTCAAATGAAAACAGAAACCTTCGCCCCTGCAACACACTGGGACAAAGCGTCAATCAAAAGAAACTTTGTAATGTGGAGAAGATGACAAGCTATAGATTTGGTTTGGAAGGAATTTGCGATGAGAAGAAAACCTCGCCACAGACTTGCATAACAAGATCAACATGATTGAAGTGTCTGGAGAGCTAAATTATACAACTCCTTTCCTCCTTCCTTCATCCTATTAGTTACATATGCTGAAGACACAGCTACACAATCTTCCGATATGCAGTAATCAAGGCTAAAGATGGTTCTGGATTAAAGATTAAGAGATCCCCAAGGTGTTTATAAATTATACAGTGGTTGACAGAGAGGTTTGTGCCAGATGTCATGGAAGATTCATCAAAACGTGGTTAATAATTCAGTCTGAATCAAAGTAGTGGACAAGATTGCCATCAATAGAACCATGCAATAAGCGTCGCACATTTTCTTTCTGCAGATGACTTAACAGATTTCAGCTTGACATCTGTATCACTGTAAAATGTGGTCCAAATAGGAGTTCAAACACAAGTATATTTATCAGCTACCGTGAAAATCTGTAAAAAAGACAAAAAGGTCTGGCAGTCTGTGTGTTTCTGGTCAAATCTATGTCCATCAGTAGCAACATCAGCAGCATTACCTGTAGTTTTGTTTCTCACTGCCGATTTGGAAACGGTCGTATAGTGAGAAGGCCTGGTTTCCGTCCGTCTCCCAATCCGTCAGTTCGACGCGGAGGGCATACTGCCTCTGGCGAGTCAACTGGTAAACATACTCGTTCCCCAACCAGTGCTCTGCAGACAAGCTCCCAAAGCCCTGCAATGTACAAAGAGAAACATGATGACAATCAGTGTGGAAATAGCAGTGAAACCCCTTTTTGTAAATCATAGATTTGAGATTATTCTTTGCCATGTCCCCTCTTTTCCTAGACTGATCAAATCTCCACTCTAGGGTATTGTGGAATGGATGGGAAGGAATTTCCTCATTTATTCATCGATCTATTTTTGCCAATCAGAAAAAAGACCAATATAAAATGCTAATAATGTGGTTGTTTATCCACCAGCAGAACTGTTTCTGTACTTCATAAATATAATTTTTTTATTCAAGCATTATTTTTTGTTTCTCCAGATGTCAGTGACAAAGCCACACAGTCATATTGTATATTAACATATTGTATGCAACTTTTTTAAAACTTGCTTTTGGCTTTGTCCTCCATATGGATAGTCTAACTTACATACAAGTGCCTAAATTGGTACCAGCTGAAGTACTGTAGACACACACCTTTTTCCATTTCTGTATTCCACTCAAGTGACACATGCTAAACTCATTACTATTTAAATACTTCTTTCCCAAAATACATACTGCATTCAAACAACTGTAGACATTTGTATTCGATCAGAGTTGCTCCCGGTCACAGGCAAAGTGCTTCTGACAGCAGCGAGAGCAGTGGATTGCGGAGGGGAATATCACGAAGCAGGATGACATTACAGCTCTGACAGGACAGTCTGGACCGCTCCATTAAAGATTAGGAAAGGGGGGGTGACATGGGCTAGGGAGGCAAAGTCAGGGAGAAGTCTGTTTGTGCTGAGCATGTGTGGTGATGAGGAATGGGAAGGAGGGAAAGTAAATATGGGGCATTCCTCAAGCCTGAGGCATGTCCTGCCGAGTGGGTGGAAGAGAAAGTGACAGGTCCATTACCGGCTTCTCTCCTTTTTTCTCTTTCTATCTAGAATTGATCTCACTCCTGATGGGATGTTCCCCTCTGACTGTCTTTCAGCTCAGCCAAATGCCTCATAATGGGACCATGGTTATTTTCAATAACTCTGGTAGGAGAAAAGGCTGAGAAGAACCTGTTGACAGTTCTTCTTTATATTGTTCCGGTTCTTCACTATCCATGACACGCAAACCTGATCTATATCACTCAGCTCAGAAAAGATGAGGAGAAGGTTAATCACATTGTTGGACTGATCGCTTTGGGTTGCTTTTCAGTTACACTCTGTCTGGAAAGGTAATTGTAATCATTGAGCAACTGTTGCATACACAAAGCTAAAGTAACATAACAGAGAGTCCAATCCTCTCCAACAATAGACCTTTTCTGTCCAACATACCTTCAAAGCGGCCCTATCAGATGATCTCTGGTATTGGCAATGGATTATAATTGAATGTACATATATTTTAACATATGGAATTATATTTACCAATATAATCTTTTTTTAAGACCATTGAATTGTCAATGTTTAGGTGGTTTTGGTCAAGTTTGCATTATACAACCTCAAGTGACATAATGTGTTACTTTGAGTTAACCATTTAAATGGTTTATTCCTACTTTTAGCCAACTTTCTTTTATCAGTTTATACATTTGCGGTCTTTTTTTAGACATGAGTCTGAATCTCCTCAGCACTGCCCTTTATTCAAATGCATAGTTCAAAAGTTTGACCCATCCAAAAAAAATGTTTAAGAAACAAATCAGATCATGGTTCAATTTCAACCGTAATGTAATTAAGCAAACTTTTCAATGTACATTTTTTACTTCATACAAGTATCATCGGCACACGTGATAACTTGCCAAGTGTAATGTTAATGTGTTACAACTGACCCAGGTTGATGGACAGCTTACTTGAGATTCCCACCTACTCCCTGGGGTGCTTGTAGAGCAGTGGTTAGGACAAACTGCTGTACAAACACAATTTTCACATGCTGATAAGATGAAAGAGTGAGTTGAGAATGTAATTTGCAAGGTCTCCTGTGACCTGTGTCCCCTGGTAATGAAATGGAAAAACATTTGATGGTGTTAAAATCTCATTTTAACATTTGCACGACATCCCTGTTGCCAAAATTCTCTCCACGGCCCCACAAAGAAACATGTCAGTTGTTACTGAAAGATTTACAAATCCTCCAAGTACTTTAAATCTGCAAGCGCAGGCCTCTGGAGACCAACAATGAGAAAATGAATAACACAATAAAACACCATCGATCACCTCCAGGCGTTTCAAGGAGAGGAACAGTAATGCTAAGCTGCTAGATCAGCACTGTAAATGTCGGCCAAGGTCCATGAGTTTGCCCTCATGTACTGAAATGCACTCCATGCTCTCGACGACACCTGTTCGGAGCTGGAAGGCTTCCACGTCTTTCTCTATGGTGCTTACTTTTTAGGTCTCACATTTTCTTATTTTTTTTCTACTTTGTCCCTTTTACTTATTATCATCATTCAGTGTGTTCCTTTTTTACGCACAATCCTTCCACCATTGCTTAGTCCCGTGTAAGTGCTTTTATTTGATCCAACTTAAGAGTTATGTGGTTTATAATGTCCCACAAGCTCTTTGAAATCCTTCCCCATTGACTGTTAAATTGTACATCAATAAAAGCGGAGACAGGGGAAATATTTTAAACTAGTAACATAAAGCAGATTACAGAGGATAGAATAAACATACTCCTTTTAACAATAAACTGACAGCTATTGAAAGGTACACAGAGGTGTCTTACTCAGCATACACAACCAATGCAACTGCCAGCAATAATAAATCCAATTTACCGTCTAAACACAGCTTAGGTTCGGATATGTTAACACCGTTAATGCAAATATGCATAGATCTCTCCTTGATGACAAACAGATGAAACAGCTGGCACAGCGCTATGGAGACTAAACAAATGGGTTGTTTGCAGATTTAGGTAATCATTTCCTGTTGAAAAGAAGGCAAGGCAAGGCAAGGCAAGGCAAGGCAAGGCAAGGCAAGGCAAGGCAAAGCAAGGCAAGGCAAGTTTATTTATATAGCACTTTTCAACACAAGGCAATTCAAAGTGCTTTACAAAAAATGAAAGACATTAAGAAAAAGGCATTTAAAATCAGTCATTAAAAAGAAAAGCTAATAAAATAAACATTAAAAGAAAAAATACATGGATAAAAGTTTCAGTGCAGTCTAAGATATGAATAGTTCAATTAAACATTAAAAGAAAAAGTACATGGATAAAAGTTACAGTGCAGTCTAAGATATGAATAGTTCAATTAAAAGCAGCGACAAAAAGAAAAGTCTTCAGCCTGGATTTAAAAGTAGTCAGAGTTGCAGCGGACCTGCAGGTTTCTGGGAGTTTGTTCCAGATATTTGGAGCATAATAACTGAACGCTGCTTTTCCATGTTTAGTTCTGACTCTGGGGACAGAAAGCTGACCAGTCCCTGAAGACCTGAGAGATCTGGATGGTTCATAATTTAGCAGGAGGTCGGAAATGTATCCTGGGCCTAAACCATTCAGTGCTTTATAAACCAGCAGCAGTATTTTGAAATCTATTCTTTGACACACAGGAAGCCAGTGTAAAGACTTCAGAACAGGAGTGATGTGATCCACTTTCTTAGTGTTAGTGAGGACTCGAGCAGCGGCGTTCTGAATCAGCTGCAGCTTCCTAATAGATTTTTTAGTGAGACCTGTGAAGACACCATTGCAGTAGTCGAGTCTACTGAAGATAAAAGCATGGACAAGTTTTTCCAAATCCTGCTGTGACATTAGTCTTTTAATCCTAGATATATTCTTTAGGTGATAGTAGGCTGATTTAGTAACTGTTTTAATGTGACTGTTGAAACTCAGGTCAGAGTCCATGACTACACCTAGATTTCTGGCTTTATCTGTTGTTTTGAACATTGCAGACTGAAGCTCAGCGCTAACTTTTATACGTTCTGACTTGGCTCCAAAAACCATTACCTCAGTTTTATCTTTGTTTAATTGGAGAAAGTTCTGACACATCCAGTCATTGATTTGTTCAATGCACTTACTCAGTGTTTGAATTGGAGCATAGTCTCCTGGTGAAATTGTTACGTAAATTTGTGTGTCATCCGCATAGCTATGGTAACTTATTTTGTTGTTTTTCATTATCTGAGCCAGTGGTAGCATGTAGATGTTAAAGAGAAGAGGCCCCAAGATGGAGCCTTGAGGTACCCCACATGTCATATTTGTCAACTCAGATGTGTATTTACCTATAGAAACAAAGTTGTTTCTGTCCTTTAAGTAGGATTCAAACCAATTTAGAACTGTTTCCGAAAGTCCCACCCAGTTTTCCAGTCGGTCTAGTAATATGCTGTGGTCAACAGTGTCAAACGCAGCACTGAGATCTAATAATACTAACACTGAAGTTCTGCCACTGTCTGTGTTTAAGTGGATGTCATTAAAGACCTTTACAAGAACAGTCTCAGTGCTGTGGTTTGGACGAAAGCCTGACTAGAACACATCGAAACAGTTATTTAAATGCAAGAAATTACTCAACTGTTGAAAAACAACTTTTTCAATGATTTTACCTAGAAATGGGAGGTTTGATATGGGCCTGTAATTGTTCATTACTGAAGCATCTAGATTATTCTTTTTTAAGAGCGGTTTAATGACTGCAGTTTTCAGGGCCAGTGGAAAGAAGAAGAATAACAGCATGTCACTGAAGCCTCGGCTGAGAAGCGGAGCAAATCTCAGATACCCCTGGCAATACTGCCAGTACAAAAAACGACGGCGAGCTACTGCTGAGGAGGAATGACATCCTGCCTCTCAGTTTCAGCATGTTCAATTGGGTCCAAAAAGCACACGCTATTTGTCATCATCCCCTGCAGAAGCATATTTTAGAAACAGGATGTTTGGCTCATTGCGCAGTTTTTTTATTCATTGATATGGATTTGTGCATTCTCCTTATGTTGTCTGCGTGTTGCCTTGTCTTAAGGACCACCATTATCGTCTTGCTTTAATGGATACGGATGAGTGCACACATTAGTCTTGTCTTACCATCTTGTACTCCTTCCACGTTCTCTGAAAGTCCACACTGCCGTCTTCTCTGCGCTGGATGACCGTCCATCCACCACCAGCTGTCTCCATGTTGCAATACACCTACACAGTGGAAAAGAGAGAGCAAAGGAGGGTGGGAAAAACAAGTGTATTAGGGTATTGGAACAAAAGCACACATAGGTCTTTGTATATTTGTTTCTGGATTCAGAAGAGATTTAACTAACAAGCTGTTGGATTGAGATTTAAATGTGACTCAACGGCATTAACAAACAATGAAGGGTCATTTGGGCAATGATTTGGTTTCAGATACGCCTCTTCCCAGCTTTGACGATGAATCATCTTTGGGAATGTTTCATATCTGTGTCCTCCTCAAACTTAATCAGCGTCTGCTTATCCCTCACCAACTCCCCAGAGATGTTCCTCATCAGGCGGCCATGTTTCTGCAGGATCAAAGAGGGGGTCCTGAATGTAATGTGGCCCTTAACCTTGGACCTCAGCGTGTGTAAGCTGATAATGCATCGCTGGCGCTCTATCTGCTGTGTTGCTCTTTGTTTTGAGGAGACCCCGGGTGGAGTGGAGAAGGTCTCTCACCTCAGCCAGCCCACACAGCTGAACACACATGCACACAGCCTGGGTATAATTAAGGAAGTACCCTTGACATAATTTCCTCCCCCAAGACTAGCTCATCATTCATGGTATACAAGCACAACTTAGTCATTACTTACTTAAATATAATGTGGGACAAAAACAATGCCGAGTACCCTGGCGCTGCCAATGACTCGGCAGGTGTTGAAGTAACATGAACGAAAAGTAACATCTAGTGCGAGTCAGTGCTAACGTGATCAAGCTAGACTAACTAACTCCAATGAGATATAATAGTGAAAGGTAAGCTAGTAAACTGCTGCCGGAAACGTCCACGCAGAGGCATGAAGCTTGTTTTCACAATACACAACATTATAATTGCCCTTACACAAAAAGTAGAATTAAAATGTCTGCGATTAGCCCAGCAGCACCTAGTTTGACTTTGAGACAGAAACCCAAACATACAAACCTCCTGCCGACCTCTTCACTTATTGAATCATCACTCCCAAGAATATGTAAGCATTGCTTGGAGGTTAAGAACACACACTTCCACACACACATGTAACCATCCTGATCAGCTCAGTGTCCTGTTTCACAACCACCTGCTAAACTTGTGCAATCACCAAGCTGCCAAGTGTATTTTCAGCTATGGGTATTCCTAATCCTTATAACACTGATGAACAATTAACCCACAAGTGATGAAAAGGCAGAGGATTTCACTTGAGAGTGCATCGCTGGCTGATATTGAGGCTTCTCACCTTTTTGGTCTCCTGAGGGTTGATCTGGATGGTGTAGACTCCATTCTTATGGAAGCCAGCCTTGTGGAGGTCGGCACAGTCTCGAAACTTCTTCTCCTCGTCAACAACCTTTGTGCTATTAGGCACGACTGTGGGTACATAAGCAAAAAGGGACACTGTTACACTACTTAAAGTTCTATAAATATAAATCAAGCTCAAATTAAAATAGTTATTGAGCCACTGAACAGTTGTGTTTGGATCTTTACTTGTGAAATGCTATAGATTTTATTTAAAGGTCACATTTAAGGAAACATGCTCATGTTTTCTCTGCCGTCAAATGTCAAACTGTTCTTTAAAGCCACTTTTTTATAGAACATGCCAGCTGTCTATCAGAAACATGAGATTTTGACTGACAGGATGACAAAGCTTAGATGTTATAGAATATTTTATGATAAAAGAAGGGACACAGGAATAGCACTGGAAAAAAGGAAAACATCCATGCAATTAAAAACTCTTACCCTGCATACAACCTCTTCTGTCCGACAAGTGTGGAAATCATAGTTCTATAATGTTTTATGAAATCACGAATTGCACTTGTGAATTGCTTAACAAGTCAATTTATCATATTTCAGATCTGAACATTTCAGAGGACAAACAATAAGGGGTCTGAGGCAGAAGCTAATTGTTAAGGTCTCACTGCGAGTATCTTGTAACGGCCAGATCAAATCTGAGGGCAACTAACTTATTAGTGAGAAAAAAAACGTTTCACCAACTGGATGATCTCCCACTTTTGAGACAAAGGGCCTCAAACTTTGACCAGCTGCATCCATATCCATCTGTAGATAATTATGGCGGCACTATTTTGAAACCAAGCATGGGGGTAAGGACAAAATACTACAAGCTATACATTTCAAGTTCCTGTTATAACAAGTGGTTTATATTTAGCCCTTGTTATATTGATGGAAATTCCTTCCGATTTCCCTTTTTTTCCCCTCTCTCTTTCGTCCTACTCCCATCTAAGGGGTTCATCTCAATTTTCACACCATTGTTTTTAAGGTTAAAAATGGTTGAGTCAAAGAAGATGTCAGGGCAAAGCGAAATGTGTCAGCGATCCATCGCCTTCGCTTTGATCCCCCCTCCTCAGTGCAGGACATCCCAGTGGAAGCAGGGCGCTCATTTGGCTGTACAATCTGAGCATTTTGACGAAGTATTGAGTGTCGGCGACAAGAATCTCCTGCTGTGACGGGTTGACAGAGTGGGCCCTCGTGCTCCAGACTCTAATTCAACAAAGAGCGGCCCTGTCGGGCGGTAATTTACCCCAAGCCGGCAGACAGCAGGGCATGTTCTCGGGGCCACAGAGATCATTGACAGAGGGGAACTTTCTGGCATTCGATCTGTAACAGTGGGGACAATCATTTCACAACTGCTTTGAGATCCCCCTCGGTGAGAGGAAGACAGTTAGCAGAGGGACTCCATGCTCAGGAGCGGCTCCCTTGAACAGCTTGCTACCCAGCTCTACAAATATTATTTATGTCCCAATATTTATTTACAGAAAACTATTTTGTGGTTCAGTGGGGACTCGTATTCAGTAGGGGGTTCATGTGAAAAGACCAGCAGGGCTTGGGTGTTTGCATAAATCAGTACCCTTGCCAAATGATCCCAAATACTCAAACTAAAGAGAGTGAGTAATGGAGCCTAATGGACTGCCATGGACATCACTGCTCCCATGTGACTACAATCAGTCTCTGAATGCAGCTGAGAGTTTAAGTGATTCCAAACAAAATCCAGCAAATTTCTCCTGTGTATTCATATATGAAGGCTGCGAAACAATATTATATTATAGTACATTCCCACAGTAAACTTCACAACAATGATGTGCAGTGCTTGTTTCCTATGGGAAGATGATTATGGTTGTTGTGTAAAAAGGCTGGGTAGTGAGGCACAATTCATGACTTTCAAGCTATATTTCTTTATTAATAGAAATCATACTCCCTTTTTCTTCCCATATCCTGCTGAAGCAACCAATCACTCAAGTAAAACTACTTTGCATTAGCAAAAACATTTATAAGGAATTATAAGATAATTTGGAAATAGATTTTTACAATGTAATTGGCAAAGCAAATTGCATATTGCTCCATTTAATAGTTTTCAGAGACGTGTGAAAATGCAACATATAATAAAACAGTCTAATTTCCTCTGTGAAAATAAAAAAACACTTTACAGGGTCTTTGCAACAATACGTGTCGGCTCATTCTGCTGGTCAGTGAAGCATAAAAATAATCATGTGCAGCATTCAAAAATTAGGTTTGGATCGTAAAGTGATGTCTAATGAAGTGGTTTACCATACTGTCGTGTTTAGGCATTACAACACATAAATGCCATTTGAGCTTTGAGTGGAAACCCAAGATAATTCCACTGTTTTTGACTTCCAGTAAGCTGCTGTAAAAATGATGAATGTTTTGCATTTAGTGGGATAATAGAACACTGTAAAACAAAATCATATTAAGCAGCCAGAAATGTGTACAGTGTTCCAAAGCTGAGGACAATTTTCGTTAATCACAGTGTGTGGCTCATTGCACCCTAATGAGGTTTGGGTAATGATTACAACCTAAACAAGAGCTCCACTGACGCATCTGGCCACATCAACAAATCTTAAAAGGGCACAGTTTGCACTGCAACGGTTGAAGAAAAGATTGGAAACTTTGATTTTAGGAAAGCCACAAATGGCAGCTGGGGAAGAAATACATTTATGAAGATTTAGTGTTAAACTCCATTTTCTAAATATGTCATCTTCCCCCAAGCAAAGTCAAAGACGATTTCAGTTCAGGCTTTAAAAAGAAAATACTCAGGTTTCAAAACAAAGACTTACGCAAGCAGACGCCACTCGATGGCATGAAATGCTAACCGTTTCCGCAAATGAAAACACCGATCCGTTTCTCAAACAAAAAAAAGCACATGGAAAAAGAAAGAGCTCTGTTGCTACTGTGTTTTAAATGTTGTCGAAAAGCAGTGGCAGTTGGTCCCATGGTCGGTGAGATCTACCTACTCCTTCACCTCCTTTGGACGGGAGGTCCCCGGGGAGCTATTTCAGTTTGACTTATTCAGGCTGGGGTGAAGAAAGGGGAGACCTCTGACCCGCCGGCCCGCCTCAACCTTCAACGCCACCATGGAAGAGGAAAGGACCAACCACAGAGCGGCGGTGACAACATTCCATTTCTATCGCTTCTCATTAAGGTAACCACCAATCACAGACAGTGGGACGCGCTGTGGTGCCCTGCCCTATTGACCCTACTGATAATAAAAGTAGCATAAAAAGGTGGCAAAATAAAGAAACTTGGCAGATTACAAAGCCAGTACAATTTAAAAACTAGTAGTGTTGCATGAGGAAACACTTGAATCTTAACATGAAGATCAAGGCCAAAAAGGTTTCAAAAGACCTCTGGATTTGTGTATGTGGCATTTAATTACCAGACTAAACACATGGAGTGTGAGTGGAGGCCGTCCGTGACCTCTACTGCAGGGAACATTAAAATAATGAAAGGGAGCAGCATGATAAATACAAAGCATGTGTTAATCATGTCTAGTAGTTATCCAATCATGACTCCTACATCCCTTCATATCCTTGTTGCTTCCTGTCTGACGGGAAACCTCAAGAAGCACTGTGAGGTCTCGAGGCGTCTGTGCAGGAAGTCCACAAATGGAAATGAAGTTGCAACCGATCCCCGACACAGAATTCATGTCAAATCTCCTGTGACCAATGGGGTTTAAGGCCAATGTTAGGATCAAGTTGGTTTCGGCCTTTAACCGGCTTAAAAAGGGGTAAATGAGTTCACTGCATTTGACCGAACATGAGAGGTTGAATTCCTGCAGGGTCAAAAGAAGGGCCAAAAGGGAAATCCCTGGTCTCTGTTAACAGAAGGGAAAGACTCAGAGGACTAACATAATCCTGATACTTCATGACCAGAGTAATGCTTGACGTTTCGGAGAAGCAGTGTTCTCAGACTTTAGGAAGTTAAGCATGAAAAGTGATTGTTGCAACAACAAAAGAAGAAGAGCAACATGCTGGTTCATGAGACTCGAGGCACCAATGCTCTTTAAGAGGAGCACATCAGGTTACAATAAGAACCGTGTTTCTTTCTTCATGCTGCTCTCAGCGATGCAGGGTTTAATAGCCATCGCATCCCCGTGTCTCTCAGTATGGGGTAAGGTTTATAGAACTGGTGTCATCCTGATTTCATGAGGATTGTAAAATCAAAGATGTTGTAGCTGACTAGAGGAAGTTAGTGGGAAAAACAAAAGCTGCTTTATAGTTATAGCCATGATCAGCCAATCCACAAATGCAGCTTTTCACATTGTGGTCTGGCAAGGGTCAATAGGCATTTTCTTGTGTTTCGGTCATTGCTCGTGGGGGTAGACAAACTTTGGATCAGACTAAAACCAATCAACAGATTACTGACAAGCCTTCTCCTCTGCTGAAACATAAACATAAACCTTTCTACGCTCGGTTTGACCAACCCAGTGCACAGGGGATGTTCTTGATTTGCCTCAGGGTTTCAAAGTAGAACCAGACCATTTGTACTTTGTCTTATACTTCCAAAACTCATGAGTACTTCTGGGTCCATGTGACGCACATTTCTTCATCAGAAACTGTATGCGAAGGCTCAATATGAACATTCGCATACCGTTTAAAAAAAAAAAATGGTATTAGCGTAGCTCTTTTCTGCGTATATGTGGAATGTGTCCTCCAAGCTGACTCCAAAAAGTAGTGAAAAACCGAACTACTCCTTGCCTGTGGTGACAACATTTCACGCTGATTCATGTATTAAGTATTCATGCCTGGCTTTTTGATTTTAGCACAATAAAACTGGCAATGCTCCTAATGCGATGGCCATTTTGTAAGAGCATATTTATAACAAAGATTCCAAACTTCTTTGCATGTGACCCTTTGATTCCAGTTGGCTTACCTCCATCTTTGTTGCAGAGGTTGAGCAGGTTATGGACGGTATCCATCATCTCCTGCTGCTGTCTCTGCAGGGCCGTGCCATTTCCTGAGGCCCGGTTTAGTTGGGCTTCTAGTTCCCCGATAACCCCGCTCTGCCTCCCCACCAGGACCTGGAGACTCCCCTTCTCCTGCTTCAGGGTATCCAGCTCTTCCCTGTGTCGCATCTCCATCTCGAACATCTTCTGCTCCAAGAGGCTGCGGAAAGGAAAACAGGATGAAAAGTTTGTTTATAAGATAGCTAAATTGCTAATTATTATGGTCCTTCAGGGCATCCAAATCCGCTGGAATGAGATCTTTGTGCAGATTTAAGATTGTTTTGCAACTTGTTATATTACCAGTTACTCACTGATTATGTATCAGCTGAATCCCTCTTTCGCTCTTGTTGCTTCCTGCTGTTATTTTGTGATGAACACTGAGTAATAAATATCAATAGGTGGTGATATACACCCTTTACTTGAAAACCATTTCCCAATGAGCAATATGGGAAAAGAAAACATGTATTTAGCTTAAGACTTCATAAAGTGATGTCTGAGGATTGTGTGCCCCACAGAATATAAACATATACGTTCATCATATACTTTGGGATTCATTTGAGGTAAATGAACAAGCTGTTCAGTATCTGAGAATCACCAGCGTACAATCTAATTCCTGAAAGATGATACAAGCTGACATCAAATTCATCAACTGATCATATGTTCTCCACCATTATAGATTTGGTAAAGGAAAAATGACAGAAGACACGCACAAGATGAAATAATGTCATAATTGCTGAAGCTTACGAAAATGTCCCCTCAGGAATCTATCTCAATATGGCTTAGGAATAACTAAAAAAACAGTATCACCAGAGATTGGCTATGTTTTCATTTTCTTCCAAAGTGATTGCATTGAGTCTCTGGATACTGCAATGAGAGATGGGGACCAAACCCTTTTAAACATTATATAATCTTAGACAATCCCACAGCACCAATCAAGATTTGGAGACATTAAATCCAAAAGCAACATTTTAAATTGCATGATTTTGCAAGAAATGCACAATGGGCCTAACATGGAAAGCATCATGCATTTTGAACTGATCTACTGAAATAGAAAATGCAAACTCCCCATTATGATATTGTATATACAACTGAATATTGTTTTACAAAATGGTCAAACTATGTGGTAGTCAATGAAAACTGGTAGCAAGCTTTTGATTTTGTTTACACAATCCAGCAGAGAACAGCAGAAGAGAACGGCTCTCTGTGTGTCGATGTATCATCGTTATTTCCTTCCTCCTGCAGAATTGATGGTATTTAGTGTGTGTGTGTGTGTGTGTGTGTGTGTGTGTGTGTTTGCTCGAAGCGCTGTCTGTTTACCTGTTCTTGTCATGCAGCTTGCTGATCTCATTGGTCTGGAGCATTAACTCTTTCTCCAACTTGTTAGTGGAAAGAGAATTTTCCAGCAGCTGGATCTCGAGCCTCGATGTCTGATTCAGAACCTGTCATGATAAGAAATGCACAGATATATACAGTAGATTATATAATGCCTCTATACATAGTATGTGCAATAATACTAGCTAATACCTTGCTCATGTGCACCAAACCCCAAAGAGAAACAAAAAATGCAGGGCTGTATCTAAGGCCTTTTAGACACTGGAAAAACACACTGCACATACTGTAGAAACCATCAACTTTGTTTTCATTTGTCAAGTGTTCCCCAAACACATGGTTATACTTAGGAGATTGTCATCTCTGCTATGATTATCTTTTTTAACTTTGCAAACAGTTATCTTTGTAGTGATTTAGCAAAAATTACCCAACGCTAACTTCACAACTTTCCATCACCTCCCACTCAAAATCCTCCATATAAACACTAAAAGGAAACTGAGCCAAATAAGTCACAGGAGGGTTAGGCATTTACATAGCATCAGTATTGTGTTTGGCCAGTGCTCTGTAACCTTTTTGGGGCAGTGAATTGTGGAATTGTTGAGTTAATGACGCATGGATGGATCCTCTCAGCGTGTGTGTGCAAGAGAAAGACATAAAGAGCGAATTGAATGGGGGCACATCAACATGTTTGTGAGCCTTAGTGTAAGTGTCTGTTTTAAAAGTGTTACCTGCGTCTCAACGTCAGTCAGCTTGCGCGTCTGTTCAGCCGTCTGAGAAAGAAGGTTGGTTCCCATTTCCAACATGGCTGCAGTGTGATTGTGGACGGCGCTCTGCTGCAATTGAGCCATCTCCACCTTCATGCTCTCTTTGATGTAGTTCTCAATCTGCACCAAAGAAAAGTACAGAAAGATGTAAAGTATACTTGAAGGTGCATCCCAGGAATGTATTATTTACAAAAACAATAACATGGAGCCTTTAGGTCAATTGTAACCCAGAAGTAAATCTGGCAATCAATTAAACCCATTTCCAACTTGTTTGTCTATCACAGTAGGTACAAATATGTTTAATAACTGACATCAGGCAGGAACACTGATGCGAGGCATTGTTCCGTTCCCTACCCTTTCTCTTCTTGTCTCTTACAGTTTCACATTCACAGTAATAGCAAGCTTAAAGGATGCCACACAAGATTCCATAATCAAGATACACAATTATTCAATAAGCAAACACAACTAAATAAATCGACATTTCCGTTGGACACGCACTGGAAAGTGTTTATATTATCCATGTGAAAAAATGCACATCAAACATTTGTTCCATCATTTGAATATTTGAATGCAACTCAAGTGTAGAATAAGTTAAGTTACTATAGGCACAGCCAGATGTAGGTGATTAGCCTGCAGGCAAAGAGACAGAGATGACAAGATGAAAGTTTGTGTTGGATACTATTCTTCATGAATTAACCATATGGATCATCTGTGTCTGTCAGTTATTGTTCAGCAGTACATTGTTATTTTAGAAGTTTACTAAGTTAAGGTAACTCCACAAAGTCGTAACATTTCCTTGAGTCTTGTTCATAGAAAATGTAGCACAATTTGACTTAGCAGATATAGGAGAGCCTGGCTGTCTAAGGATAATATTGTTTTTATAAATAAAACTGACATCATTAGATTGTTATTATCTACAACTTAAGCTCACTTTCTGAACACACACGTAAGTGATTCAATAATCGCCCAGTAGGGAGATTCTTAATTTTGCTTTGGCTTATCAACTTATGCTTATTTTGGCTTATGTTAACAGCTATGTTTCAGGAACGCATCAGCCAAGACAAATCAGAGTCAAATAGCAAAACATCATATGTGTTGGTGTCCTTAGCAACAGTTCCCATCCTGTACTGTAGCCGTGGGCCAAATTAAATTCCTAACACACAGAGGAAAGAATCTGTGGAGGAAAATATTTAGTTGTGTGTTACAAGACAAAGAGCAGCTGGTGACTGCGCAAGTTTCAACTAAGTTTAGCTTGCCTTTTAATGCTTGCAATCATTCTGGTTGAATTTAGAAAAGTCAGCAAGGTTGGTGAGATCTCCTGTTTTTGGGGGGTTTCCATTTTGGCTCAATCTTGACTATTGTATATTGGAGTTCTATCAATAAAAAATGTGATCTAATAATCAGATCACGGAATTAATAGGTTAACTATGCAAAGTAAAGTATATTTTAGTTTTGGTGATCATGACTGAAATATTAACATATCTGTATACATTATACATATCTGAAAACAGCATTATAGTGTTAATACTGCAAAGTATTCTATGAGATTGATTTGCAGAAAAATAACATAATTATTCTGCTTTAATAAAGAACATATGACATGATGAACATTTTTAATCAATCCGAGTCTAACAAATAATGAACCAGTTGAACAAGGATGGATGTCTCAAATCTTCAACAACAACTTCCAGCTCTCTGCCATATACACAGGTCCGTCAAGTTGAATTAGCCGTTTCTCGATGTAATATTAAGCATGGAATATCTCTTGGCAAAAGTTTTACAGAGGTTTTTTTCAGGAACAAACCCCTTCCCCTAATCATGAACTATATAGAGCTGATATAAGTGTCACTTTTGACATATCCTCCAATAGTCTGGCCTGAGGAAATGGAAAGAAAACACTGAGTCTGGAATCTACAAAGCTCAAGTGATGATGGATAACTCTGCCTGATAATGAACCAGAGAATATGCCTGTATTTGGAAACGTTTTTTAGTACATATAGACATGTAAATTCTCCAAACTTTGTGGATGGTGTAGGCTAAAAATCCTTCTAGGCAGACCATCACATTTCAAATTAAATCTCTCTTCTTTGTGCTTACAACAGCAGCCTTTCAGTGCAGCTACTCATCTACTGAGATGATTGTGTCCACTCTCTGAAGACCGAAAAAGGCTTTGCACATTGTAAGTCACCTTGAGACAACATGTATTGAGGGGACAGATGGCAGATGAAAACCTAAGCCGAGCGATCACTTTATGGTTTGTGTCCTAGGGAATGTGTGTGACTCAAGGGTGGATCTAGAGGGGCTCATAAATGGAATGTACCAAGGAGAAACAAGATTACGCAAACACGCCCAATCAGGAAGCCGTAAAATGGGTCTATGTGGGTGTTGGGTTATTTCAATGGTTTCTAACCTTGGATCCAGTTAAATGCTTTGCTTATAGTCAGTGACTACCAATAATAACTATTGCCAACCATGCAAAGTACACAGGGCAAGTACTCTCTCATTGTCAGAGCTGAAATGCAAATTTGTGTCAGTTGGGAAATGGATTAGGATGCTGAAATAAATACAAGTGCATAATGAGAATTCATGTGTTGTGGTGCTTTATTTTCTACTAAGAAATGGGGCTCAAAGCCACTGATTGATATTCTCAAGAATATACAAATATATTCTAGTGGAACAAATGTATTTCCATCATGGTGCTGCTTTTTGGGGAATTTTTCATCTTGGGATTGACAAGAAACATGTTCCAGATAAATAAACATGGTTTAAAAGCTTTAGGGTTGGTTAAAGCCCACCAACTCTGGGTTAAACTAAATGGAGTCACCCTTAAAGGTAAAGTCGGGTGTAACCATTTTAGTGGGATATATGCAGTAGGCTTCAAACAATGTAGTAGAAATGGAATTTCATACATTAAGGGGTCAGATAATCTTTATACTGGGTCTCTAAAGGGTGACTTGGTAACTTCTGCTACAAAGCAGACACTGGGAGTGCAAGTGAAATTATGATATAAATAAATACTTTACGGTTACAGCTCCGCAAGAGTAAAACAGTATAATGTTTATGAAGTAGTGTCTATTACTCTGCAAAATTAACCTTAAGTTTGCCGACATAAGACACCACCCAATGGTGAAACTAAACCAAGTAAGGCTGTAGCTTCAAAATAAAGTGAATTGAGAGAGGAATGTTAGTTTTATTGGTACTAAATGTAGCTTTTTATATGTAAATAAAAGAATGTTCCACTTATTTTTCACGATTACACTTACAATTCCAGGTTGAAAACTTGTAACTTTTATCAATTGGTTTATTTGGTTAACTCTTTGCAAAATGAGAAAGACATTTAAATGGAACTTCAATATGATGAAATAAATACTTCTGTACGGGACCTTCCAGAATGTGAAATAATACCATGGTCTGCTTTTAGAAACAACTTAACTTGGTTTCACAAAATCGCTGTTTGCTAAGTGAGAGTCACATAAACACAAGTTTATGTTTCCCTAAGTGCTACTTTACACTGAATGTTTTAAGGTGCTGTGTTTGGCACTGTCTGGCTTCATGTGGACTGCCTTTGACTTTGCTAATGATGCTGCCTGACATCAGGATGGAAAACCATTAGAACCTTAACTGCAACCTCACATGCAGTATACTGCATGTACTGAATGGTCTCTTTCGACAGTTTATGAGGTACAATTGGCTAATCACTAAGCAAGCTGCTTGGGGCTGTCTAGAACCTAACTGACAAGCTGTACAACATAAAGCATGTACCAGGATGAATATTTTAAGAGCAAAATGAATGTTGGTCATACAGAGGGTCAAGTGTTCACAGACAAAAAGGCACACAATCCAACGGCTAAGATACCAAACACACTTATTCTGTACATTGTCAAGGTGCAAATGTTAAATTGCCATCGCTTGAGAGCCAAGAACAGGATAATCCCTCAACATGATACTCCCCTGCTATCATTGTTACAGATTACTGCAAATGTTTACCACTTTTCTGACATTTTCCATTTAGCCATTCTAAAAAGGGGGTCTTGATCTTTTTCTAAACAGCAGCAGTGGTTGTGGCGCTGAGAGACACTGTGAGAGTTAGAACACAGTGAGTCTGGACTGTATAAAACACTTACTGCTGTAGCTCTGTCACATCTCTGGGTGTGTGTGTGTGTGTGTGTGTGTGTGTGTGTGTGTGTGTGTGTGTGTGTGTGTGTGTGTGTGTGTGTGTGTGTGTGTGTGTGTGTGTGTGTGTGTGTGTGTGTGTGTGTGTGTGTGAAGGGGATGGTGTTGGTGAGGCAGTAAGGCTTCTGGGATGCATCCCTTACGCTCAGGCCTGGATCCATTTCAGACCACTTTAATGGACTAGAGAATGGGGGTTACCCGCTACCACCCACCCCTTAAATCAGCACCTCCTGGTGTAAAACAACCACTTTGGAACGAATGCCAGCATATACACTTGCACCTTCTTATAGTCCACCAGCAATGAAGGGTGAATTTGACACCCCTTTTTGAAACCTGGGCCTATTATCCACCATAGTAGGAGGCGATACCCTGAATTACTGCCTTGTATGACTCTAAGGTTTTGTAAAATATATGTGCAACCTGTGTTTGTTTTTTAGAAAACTGTCTTATTCACTCACCGGCTTGTTTGTTTTTCAAATCCACCTTGAAAAAGTGTTAAGACTATTTAAACTGTCTTAAACTCTGTCAAGATTAGGTGAGTAACAACTCAGGTTGAACTCACAGTTAACCTCTGTGACCTTCACCTCGGTGGCCAACATCCAGGCCTTAACTCAATTGCTGCCACATTTCTTTCCTCATATAGAATGTGAATAGAACGAAAGAGTAGTAGACAGACTGAAAATTAACAAACAAACCAACAGGCCCTATGCCTTAGTGGACAAATAATCAGTTTTGATTTTCCTTTGAAGTGGCAGTTTGATCAATTGATCATTCGCTTGTCATCTCCACCAAGCAGGAATTTCCAAATCACAGCTTAGTTATTGTTACTCCAGGCCTGATGTTTGAAAACAATATTATTTAACATAATGAAAAATTGTGAAAATGGGATAATATCTATAAAATAAATAATTTGAAGGGTCTTTATTTTAGCTTTTCAAAAACCAAAA